GCAGCCGGTCTCTGTGCCCATAGGCGTCGTAGAAGAGTGGAAAGGCCCGGGTGGTTCCAGCCGAGAGCAGCAGCAGGTCCAGCAGCGCCAGGCAGGGGGCACCAGGCGGGCAGCGCCAGGGCAAGAGGGCCAGAGCCAGCAGCGCCAGCAAGGCCACGAGGCCGAAGAGCGCGCCTACCCCATATACATGGGCTTCCCAGGCCAGGCCCCAGCGAGCCCTGGCCTCTGCCCAGTCGGCTTCCAGGGTCAGGAAGAAGAGGGGCAGTGCAGCTGCAGAAGGCTGCCCTTCAGGATCTGGCGAGTCTCCCATGCCGCAGGGCTGCGGCCCACACTCGGGCTGTACGGAAGGGTTCCCGAGGCTGGCTGGAGAGGAGTCATCCGGGCCAGAGCTGGGGATGGTAGGGTCTGTGGGTAAAGAGCTTTGGCTGAGACATTGTGCAGCCCTCGCCCACCACCCCCAGCCAGTAGCCCCAATACCTGTGAGAGTCCATCCAGCATCCAGGACTGCTCTGCCTTACACTGAGACCCAGTCAACTTCTTGACCACTCACCTTCCCTTCTGCTATTCAGGCTCCTCACGCAGACCTTCCAGCTCTCATCCCTTCCCTTCCCACCCCTGCCCCACCGCAGCTCCCTGCTCTGTGCACTTTCCTTCACTACTCTGCCATGTTACTGAAAAAGGTTTTATAAAAGGCGCTGAAATTTACAATGGGTAGGAACTGTAGATGCCCTCCCCCCCTGCCCAATCGCCCTACTGGGAAGGAAATATGAGAGCAAGGATTTTCTATTGTTTTGTTCACATCTAAGTCTCCAGGTCTAACATGGTTTCTGGTACACAGTTGGCATTTAGCAGATATTCATGGAATAAGCAAATCCTCTTTCTTGCCAGATGGACACTGAGGCTCTGCAGAAGCAACATGACTTAACCAAGGCCACAAATTAGCAGACCTACAGATAGAATCCAGACCTGAGCCCCTTTTCACTATTCCAGAGCCTTTGGAATGCTAGTTGGCTCATCTCCTGTCCTGCCACTCTGACTGCCACACCCACCGTGGAGCCCTTTTAGACTGCAACCCACTCCCTTCCCTGTCACAAGGAGAAAAGCCCGCGTGTGCACATGCACACACTCATACACACACACACAAACATGGAGCAGGGGGAAGAGCTAAGACTCTCCTGTTCCCCGTCCACTGTCCACTAAGGAGCATACCATCTCTCCACAGTCACTGACCTTCCTGTCTGCTGCACTGTAACCCTCAGCCTACCCATGGCCGTGGGCCCATCCTGACTCAACCACAAAGCCATGGTCTAAGGCTCTTACTATGGCTATCCCTTGACTCTTCTGCCACTCTACAGAGGTGACTTGAGATGGACCCCCCACACACACACACTCCCATCTCAGCGGCTTCCTTTGAACCCCCAGCAGGGAACGACCGGCTAGATCACAGTGGGATAGAGTGCCAATTGCATGAAGGTGCCCCTTGGGTGCTCTGTGGTTTCACACTCAGGCCCCAGCCCCATCCTGTGCCCTTCTTCCTGCATCCCTTGGGGACAGGGAAGTCAGCCTGTTAAGGTAAAATGTCTACTTCTACTCTCCTAGAGCAAGAAAGAAGTTAGAAAGAGTTACTGAAGGAATCCCCCTAGAGCCAACCAGCAAGGAAGATGCTGGAAGCTGAGCCTCTCCCTACCCCCACCCAGCAGGCTCAGCAGGATTGCAGCTGCAGGCAAGGAAGGAGGAAGAAAGGGTGATGGTGAAGGATGGGGACAACCTCTGTGGGTGGGAAGCCTGGAGAGGGGGGCAGGGGGACAGATGTGGGATGATGGGGGCAGGGTCTCCTGACAGTAAAAAACCCTGCCCCAACTGCTGGCTATGCCCAGCCATGTCCCGACCAGACAACACAGAAAGAACTCAGAAACACCACCCCCGCAGAAGCAGTGCCAGCTCATGCTTGGGACATGCAGAACACAGCAGTTCTGGGAACAAGAAAAGGACCAAGGGGGTCAGAAGGTGGCTTTAGAGAGAGGGGAGGGAAGATGAACTTGGGCTACTGGGAAGGGCAGAGAGAGCAGCCACAAAACTAAACAGCACGTGCCCGGTTTCCTTTCCATCACATCCCTGTATCACGCTGGGTAAACTCTCTTCACGATCCAAATGATATATAGTGATGTAATGTATGAACAATAAAAAAAAAAAAAAAAAAAAAAAAAGAGTACCAACTACCGGGACCAGTAGATGGTGTAGCAGTTACGTCGTTGGACTCCCACCTGGCTGACCACAGTTCAAGCCCTGAGACCAGTGGTTTGAAAATCATGCCAGGCACGTGTGCATGCATGCCAGAATCCTGGGAGGAGAATGGAGGAGAAGGAATTTCGTCATGGCATCCCCCCAGAGGGTGATTTCTCACTTCCCTTCTCACTGTCTCTGTCTCTCTTTCCCCAGTGAGCACACATACCCTAAGGCAAAAACCTCTTAAAAAAAAAAAAAAAGAGTAAAGACTACGAGGCCAGTACACAGCCTGGTGGTTAAAAGAACCAGATCACACATGCCTGACCATGGTTCAAATCCCAGCCCCACTGTCTTGAGTAGCATGCTGAGTTCATATGACCACATGTGCTCAAAATCCAGACAGGATAGAAAAATGGAGGACGGGAGATTGCAGTGTGACCAGACTTCATCAGGTGCCCACTCCCTCTCTCTGTCTCTCCTTGGCACACACCTCGCCCTCTAGTAATAATAATAAAAAAGTAGCAGTGACTGCGCAGGACTGTTACGGGGATAAACGAGAAGGAAAGTGTAAAGCTCTTCGCAGCACTTGGTGCACAATAATCTTTCTGTGCTGACTGCTGTTGCTCTCCTTATTGACTAATGGTCATCGTTCATCAATCATCAGTTTGTGTTTGTGTGAGTATGACCACTTTTTGCCCTTAAACTAGCTCTTGATTTAACTAACTAAAGCCTGTTGTCTGTGTTAGAACCTTAGCACAGGGGCCAGCAGGTAGTGCAGTGGTTAAGGTCCTAGACTCCCACATGGTCAACTATGGTTCAAGTCCTGGACCTGGCAGCTTGAAACACACCAGGCACGTGTGCCTGTGTGCTCAAAATCCCATGAGGAGAATGGATGTGAAGGGATTGCGGCATGGCCATTCTCCCTGAGAGGCTGGGGGGTGATTTCTCACTTTCTCTTTCTCCATCTCTGCTTTTCTGGCAAGCACACACACCCTACAGCAAAAATCTCTCTTAAAAAAAAAAAAATTCCCTTAGCACATCCTGTACTTGCTAAAAGACAACAGTTAGGCAAATGAGTGAATATCAACCCATTGTCTCACTTTATGAACTCTGTTTAAATAACAGTTCTCAGGCAGGCCCCACTGCCTAGAGGATCCCACCCCAAAGGGCTGATCCCAGTTCAAATCCTGGCTGAAAACACGGTGGAGGGACCAGCAGTTAGCGTAATGGCTATGTCGCTGGACTCCCATGTAGTCGACCATGGTTTGAGTCCCGGACCCGGTGGCTTAAAACTCACGCTGGGCACATGTGCGTGTGTGCCCAAGATCCCAAGAGGACTATGGAGGAGAAGGGACTGCAGTGTGGCCATCCCCCCTGGGGGGGATTTCTCGCTTTCTGTCTCTCTGTCCTCTCTGTCTGTCTGGAGAGCGCATGCGCCCTATAGTAAAAACCTCTCCAAAAAAAAGAAATAATAATCCACAGTGGGTGGGGCTGGCAGGTGGCATGATGGTTAAGGGCGCTGGACTCCCATATGACCAATCGTGGTTCAAGTCCTGAACCTGGTGACTTGCTTTCTCACTTTCTTTCTCTCTTTTCCCCCTCTCTGGTCACATTAAAAGAAGTAAATAAATAACTAAAGTTAAATAAAATAATTAAAAAACAAAAAAAACCAAACAAACAAAAAAACAGTGGGCATATCCAAAATCTTGACAGGACAGAGAAAAAAAAAGAAATTGTGGTGTGACTATGCCCCACTGAGAGATGCTTTCTCCCTCTCCCTCTTTCTCTCTGCTTCTCTGGAGAGCTCATGCACCTTGTGGCAATTTGAAACAAACAAACAAAAACACCATTCTCATGTCTAGTGGCCTAACCACCTCTAAACACTAATGAAGACTCCAACCATCACTTAAATAAGAAACCATCCCGCTGTTCCCAGGTAGCTTGCTGATCAGGAATGAGGATAGTCTGGCACTCACAGATGCAAATATGCACACTCCTTCAAGCCTGCAGATGCACTGGCCCACCTACTTCTGCAAAGTGAATGAGCTTGTGTGGCCTTCATGGGCTCTGCGAGGGCAGGGAAACCTTCTTCAAGAGGCCACAGTCTGCCCTGACTAGTCACCCCTCACCCTCTCCTCCTTGGTCACTGTCAGACATATTGCAGCTATCAGAGGCTGGCTCCGCTTTACCCTCTTTCATGTTCCCTTCTCAGCCATGGACCACAGGAAACCTCTCTCATCTCTGTTCCAAGCACTTCGAAAACTAGAGCAAATTTCAACATTCTTAAGAATCCAGAAAAGGAGTAAGTCCAGAAAATAGCAAAGTTAAAGTGACAATTCAAGTGTCATCGGAGGAGGTCTGAATCAGGAGTGCTGATTCCAGGGGTCAGAACATGCCAGGTGTGCCCTGTACGAAGGCAGGTCTGGATGGGGACAGGTGGGAGAAAGGCCAGCTTCTGCCCTGAAAGGATCCACTTGACCTCATCACCCCTCTCCCATTTAAGGTTTCCCCAGAAAGAGCCTTCAATTTCTTCCAGAAGATAGTGATCTGGTCCTCTTCCCAAGATCCTTCTCCTGAGCAGGCCTACCCTTCCTGTAGAAGGTTGTTCTTGGCCTGTGGCCCCTCTTGACCTCAGGGCAAGGGAGGGGTTGGGATATCACTGTGTGTAATTGGTGAGGCAGGAACTGGCTGGACAGGGGCAAAGGGAGGGGCCAGCCCGATTCATGGAAAAGTCAGCCCCGATTATCCACTAGCTGCCCAGATCAAAGGGCTGGGAATCCCATCTCTACTCTGCGTGCTGGAAGCTACAGCGCATTGAGTGCCCTGGCCCCATTCCTCTCCCCACCCCCACCCCAGGATCATGGAGGGCCGATATGCTTTACAGTGGTGATATTCAAAAGATTTAGCCACTGGGATGGTGTATAGGAGCCAGAATGGACTTCTGCCGGGGGAGTCAGGGAGTGGAGGGGAGCACTCAGGTACAAAGATCAGTGAGTACTTATCACAGGGTATGACCGTCCGTCAATACACTATGACCACACAACCGTTCTGGGGTATCCAGGCTGAACGCAAGCTCCGTCCAAGGTGAAGTGGGCCTGATGCAGAGGCCCTAGGAGTCAAATGGCAACTACACCTTGGTTACAACGATCTAGAGGAGACACAGAAAGACTGCTTTGTCTCATAACTGCTTAACTACTCCGCATCCCACCACACACACACTCACATACACACACCGGCACATGTACTTCTGGTGCAAGCAAGACCCATTGGCCTCCTCTCCAGAAGGCCTGTTGCCTACTCTGGGTTTATCCAAGAGGAGCAGCAGCCAAGAAGAGGCTGGGATCCTGCAGCCACCAGTGAAGGGGGAACGCAGGCTGCTAGGCGGGGCTGCCTCTGACACTGTCCAGACTCATTAAACCTGCCTGGCCAGTGCTGTCACCGAGGCTGACAGACTGCCAGCCAGCATGCTTCCCCTGAGGCACAGAGCCTGCCCTGCACGCTACAGGGGACCCTTCCAGGGGTCACAGCAGGCTTCTCACCCACCTGCTGAGGGGATGCAGTGACTGTAGGAGGAAGCCAGGTGTCGTGTCGAATCTGTGCTGAAAGAAGCCAGGGGACCAGTGATTTCCACTGATGAGTCTCCCGTGCGGTGGCTGAGGGTTTGCATACCCACAGGAAAGTCTTTAAGAGCAGAGCTGGGCCCACAGGGTCCCTTCCCTGGCTCCCTTTGCCTCAACCACCAGAACCTCTCCTGAGCACCTATGCCCTCTGCCCCGTGGGTCACGTGTTGCCCCAGCATCACCTGGAGCCAAGGTTGGGGTGTCTGAGAGACAGCGTCTAGAAGTGCATTTGGGATGCAGTGGGGGAAGAAGCAAGGTTAATGGCTACTATTTAATGAACTTCTACTTCATACCAGATCATGCCAAGGGCATACATTATGTGGAAACGTTGCTGTAACTCAGCAAATAAATACTATTATTAAAACTTAGATGCAGGAGAGCATTTAGGCTCAGAGAGGCCAAAGTAACCTGCCCAAGTCATCCAGTTAGAAAGTAATTGAACCGGGATTTAAAGCCAGGTCCCAAGACTGCAGACCCCATGGTGTTTTCTCTGCACCACCAGGCTGTCTATGTGCGTGTTCTGCAAGGCTCCCTTGAACGGAGGTGGCGTCTGTCTGCTCCAGGTCTTATCTTCAACGTCTTCCCAATGAGGGGTCCAGCTCTGCCCTTATTTGACAGCATGTCATATCATATCAGATGGCAGAGGAGATAGCCTTAAGGTTGAGGTGGGGGGTTGGGAGGCAGGTCAGCCGACTGGAGCCGAAGGTGGGGTTAGTGCCCAGGCTGTGGGAGTCACAAAGGAGTTCCTGGGTCTGCATGCCCCTGGTATCTGTCCACATCCTGTGATTGCAGAATGCTCAGAGGACCATTACTTAACTCCGTGGGGAACCTTTCCCGGGCAGCACTTGTTCTCAAACAATTAAAATATGTCTTTGTGGTGATGAGAGAGTGGTGATCACAATTCTGACAGCAATGAACTAAAAGGGTCCCAGAATGCTGATGAGTGGCTAGCATGTAGTAAATGCTCAATTAAAAAAAAATTGTCAAGTTCAAACAAAGTACTTACCTAGTGATGTTGTTGCAATCAAGGCAGAGCTTAGGGTAGCAGCTGGGTCCAGTGGGCTTGAGCTTGAGAATTTCCTCTCCAGGATGGGTGGGGACGGGGACAGAGTGGTGCCAAAGAATCCTGCAAAGGGAGCACATGGGGCTTAGGCTACCCTGCCAGCTGGCCTTGCCTGTGGGGCTTTGGAGAAAATCCTGTCCTTCCCCAGAACTCGCCCTAAGGAAGCCGTTGTCCTGGGAATCGTAGCACACACTAAGCTCATGTATAGCATGAGCTAAGAAAAAGACCAGCCAGCCTCAGTATGGCAAAGGGAACACTTCCCCATGGCAGCAGCGGCCCTTGTTCTAGGGCCTGGAAGAAGCAGAAGAGGCCTTCCTTGAGTCAAGAAAGAAAAGGAGGCACTGGCTAGATCCCAGCACAGAGCCTGTCATGGACAGGTGCCGTCCATGTGTGTTGCAATGAAATAAACAATGTTTGTCGCAATGAAATAAACACTCACCTGGTGAAGCTGAAACTCTGGGGGCAGAACTGGGAGGTGTGGTCACTCCTAAGGGGCTCTGGCCTGAGAAGTTCCGGAGTGGAGAGAGAGTAGTACCAAAGAACCCTGTAACAGGACACCCACCTGAAGCTGCCTCCTGCCTGCCAACGGTGCCCAGCAGGGGCCCACCTCAGGATAGGGTGAGTACTCACCAAAGGGTCCCAGGCGCCCAGCAATCTCTGCCAGGCTGGCCCGCAAGCTGGGCAGCAGGGGCAGTGTCCGATGCTCGAGCGTGGGAGCTGCGCCTGCTTTCAGCGCCATGTCAAACTTCAGCTCCAGCTCACTCTGGTGAGGCTTGGGGACAGTGGATGGAGGGGCTGTAGCCGTCAGAGCAGTGTCCCAGGTTGTGTGCTGATAGGGAACCGTGGGCCGGTCGGTAGGCCCAGAGAGGGGAGAGGTGGACTCCGGAGGCAGGGAAGAGGCCCAGGGAGTAGAGCTGCCTTCAGCAGAGCCCCATTCTGGGGGAGAGTTCCCAGGAGACCCCACCAGCAGCTCCCAAAGAGGGTCAGTCCTCAGCCCATTGGCCACCTCTTCACCTGGCTGTTGGCCTGGCCCTGGAGACAGAGGCCGTGTCTCTGTGACAGGGCTCCCCCAGACAGCAGCAGGCCCACGCAGATGGAATTTGAAGTTGAGTCCGAGGTTGAGAGACAGCATAGAGGCCTCACTGTGCGGCGGTGGGGTCAGAGTGGTGAGGGGGGCACCTGGGCTGGAGGAGGCTGGCTGGGGGCCCACAGGAACAGCAAGCAGAACCCAGCAGAACAGCCCTAGCCCCAGACAGCCATGCCCTGCCATGGCCCCACCTGGCGGGCAGCCTTGGGTGGGCAGGGGGCTCAGTTCTTCAGCACCTTTTTAGTACGAAGTTCCTGGAGAGAGGACAGGCCCTGTGAGCCCTAGCTCCACCACCCTTTTTTTTTTACCCCAGGATCAGATGCCCCAGAGAGAGGCTTCAGATCACAGAGAATCAGGGGGCAGGGGCAGAATGCAAAGTGTCTGGCTCAAAGAAAGAGACATCATGACTTCCTACCAGCTCTTTCCTATACCTTCAGGCCCAGCATGAATCTCTCCCGTGCAGTGTCTCCTGCCCTTCCTGCTAGCGAGGGGACCTGGGGAACCAGGGTCTGATTGCAGCTAGCCACCATTATCCACCATCATCTGTACCTACAGCAGAGGGATGCACTTGGACTCTCAAACTGAGATTGCTCCCTTCCCTCCCTCTCCTCCCTCAAGAGTTTCTGTGGCCTACTGTGTGCCAAGCATGCTTCTGCTCATACAAAGGTGAAGAAGCAAACCCTGGGGTGAGTCCCGCCTATTCCCACCCTGACCTCCACCCCAGGATGAGATGCTGGTCTCCTCACTCAGACTCCTGGAGCCCAGGGCCCTGGGCTTTAGGATCTGTTCAGAGCTGGAAAAACCACCACTGCCCTAGCCAGAGAAACAGGGTCCCTAGTCTGGCAGAGAGGTCTTCCCTTCAGCTCTCCCTCTCTTTCTAGGGGTTGGCCCCCTGCCCTCACTCAGACAGCAGAACTATTTGGGGGAGAGGCAGCTTGAGGATACCCATCTTCCTGGGGGAGAAGGTCAGGCAGGAGGGCTGAACAAGAGGCAGCTGCAGTAGACTGTGACCCTCTCTCTAGGAGTCTCCCCTCCATGCACACACATCTGGTGGGGGAAGGGAGAGCAAGGCAGGGGCACACGTGCACCAGGCACCCTTACATCACACGCAGCCACACCTAGCACCCGTGACACACTCCCCCACTCACCCTTCACACACCCCTGCACACGCACGCGCGCACACACACATTCCATCCTGTTAAGCCTCCCTCCCTCCCTCCTACATGGGTTCAGACCCAAGCTCTGCGAGCTTCCAAGCTTCTCTCTCTCTCACACACACACATCACATACTCTACAGGCAGAGAGGTACACACAACCTTACACGCACATCACTCACTGTGCAGCACACAGCACACGCCGTCATCCCCCACACCCCTACACACCCACCCACCCCTTGCAGGCACACATGCACACACTCGCGCGCGCGCACACACACGCACACATTCCCCAGGTCCGGACCGGCCGACCTGCGCCTCCCGCTCCCTCCAGCAGGCAGGTCTCCTCCGTCAAGTCCCCCGAGAAGGGGCGGTCGCCACAGCCCAGGCGTCCGGCTGGGCAGTGCTCCGCGGAGTCTCGCCCGTTCTTTCCGCTGTGCCCTGCGCCCTGCGTCCAGACTGGAAATCGGAACCCGCCCCCCGGCACCCCCTCGGCTCCTCCGGGCGCGCGCGGCTCTGCCGACCGCTGCCCCCTGTCTGCC